GCAACGGGTACGGCAAAAACGGATTTCACCATGTTTTCTTACCTGTGGAGAATTGTGGAATGAATGTAAAACGAAAATTGTCTGAGCAACATGAAGCGACGTTAGCAACAAACAGAAAATCGCCTCTAGAGGGAATGTTTATCAACCGATTTTGATCGGGTTTCTTTCATTGTATTTCTTGTAACAAAGGGCAAATGATAGCAGTTAAAAATTTTCGATTTTCGAAAATTCGTTGCATACTTTTTTTTGCCGAAATTAATCGAAAAATACTATTTTGGTTGTTATTTAGCGGATCGACTTGAAACTTACATGGTGTAGACCGCCAGCAAAGTGGAATAAAAGCACACATTCAAAATTTGTTCATTCCTCCCGTCTATGTTAGTACTTCCGGTGGCGTCACTTCCGGTGGAATTGATTTATGTCAAAAGTAACATATGCATTATATTACCAGCCTTAATACAAACCTTTTAAACTATAAAAAATCTTACCGGAAGTAACATGTTTGTCGCCATATTGGTTTGCCTCATTTTTGCCCAAATCGATTCCCAGAATTCATTTTTAATCCGATTTGCGTAACGTTTGTGTCAAACGATCTGTTTAATGTTTGTCTACAAATGATAGGAAGCATAATTTTGATTTTCGGTTTTGCCTTTTTTGTACGACCGGATTGTTTTTTTCAAAGTTTGAAGGCGTATATCTCATGACCTTGACCTTTGATGACCTTCATATTTACTGTAATGATAATTTGTGACCTTGTCTATCTGATGACCTTTTGACCTTTGGGGTCAGATACCTATTTCCGATTTTACAGGGGTCTAAATATGGACCATTTTGAGCCTTTAAAGTGCTCTATCTCGGTCCCTAATAGAGACATGGCAATAATTCTTTCGATTTTGTAATGTAGAGATTCTCAGCTTTTTATAGATATATAACATGCATACCTTGCATGCAAATTCAAAACTCCATTCACTTAACATGGGGTTATTATTAGATAAATCGGCTAATTAGATTAACCTGGCTGTCAACCCCAACAGAAATCAAATTTTAAGTTGTTTTAAATATACCCTGCCTTTTATATTTCTTAAAAATCATCTTTGTCCAGTTATGGTATAAAATTAAGCTCTCAGGTGGATTGAATCATGTCATATTTTAGTTTAAGCTCACGGTAGCATATTGAAGGTATACCTCCACTTAATTTACCAACTTTCTCATTTCTTATCCGATTTTCGTCAAACTTGGTATGTATGTGTATAATTAAATTCTAAATTTGATGGAATTATCGAATTTGCGTAGTGCGCATGCGCATTGCCAACTTTCTTATTTACTATCCGATTTTCATCAAACTTGGTATGTATGTGTATAATGAAATTCTAAATTTGATAGAAATATCGAATTTGCGTAGTGCGCATGCGCATTGCCAACTTTCTTATTTACTATCCGATTTTCATCAAACTTGGTATGTATGTGTATAAACAAATTCTAAATTTGATGGAATTATCGAATTTGCGTAGTGCGCATGCGCTTTACCAACTTTCTTATTTCTTATCCGATTTTCACCAAACTTGGTATGTATGTGTATAAACAAATTCTAAATTTGATGGAATTATCGAATTTGCGAAGTGCGCGTGCGCATTGCCAACTGTCTTATTTATTATCCGATTTTCATCAAACTTGGTATTTATGTGTATAAACAAATTCTAAATTTGATGGAATTATCGAATTTGCGTAGTGCGCATGCGCATTGCCAACTTTATTATTTATTATCCGATTTTCATCAAACTTGGTATGTATGTGTATAATCAAATTCTAAATTTGATGGAATTATCGAATTTGAGTAGTGCGCATGCGCATTACCAACTTTCTTATTTCTTATCCGATTTTCACCAAACTTGGTATGTATGTGTATAAACAAATTCTAAATTTGATGGAATTATCGAATTTGCGAAGTGCGCATGCGCATTGCCAACTATCTTATTTATTATCCGATTTTCATCAAACTTGGTATTTATGTGTATAAACAAATTCTTAATTTGATGGAATTATCGAATTTGCGTAGTGCGCATGCGCATTGCAAACTTTCTTATTTATTATCCGATTTTCATCAAACTTTGTATGTAAGTGTATAATCAAATTCTAAATTTGATGGAAATATTGAATTTTTGTTGAGCGCATGCACATTACCAACTTTCTTATTTCTTATCCGGATTTCATCAAACTTATTCTTTATCAATTGACAAATATTCTTTTATTCCTTGTAAATATACTTTAAACTCCAGGCACTTTTGGATATTTGCATTTAGAGATGCAGAAAGGTATCTACATAAAGTAATTGCAATAGACCATCTTCGTATGTACCTGAATGTCGTAACCCGCCCTGCATCAGTACTGTTATTAGAACAGTTCTAGGTTTGTGCTTGGTATGTGAATTGATACGTTGCAGAAAGAAAAAAAAAAAAAAAAAAAAAGAAAGGAGTAGTATATCCACTATAGTGTCTTATTTATATAATCAAAATTTCCCTCATTACTTACTGCATGGCGCTGCCCGTCTGCAGAAGAGTAGAATGTGAAATTGCATTATTTTGTTTTCATTTTTCTGTGGCAAAAGGAAGGTGATGTAGTTTGAAAATAACATTATTCCCAAGCTGTTAAGTTTCAGAAAAAAACGGTTTAATTTTTGGTAATGAAGGAAAAGCTAAACAGGACTAAGTTGAATACATAAGGTACCTTAAGACCAGAATCTGGGTTGAAAGCATAATATACAGTTCTGATGAAACAATTTTGATGAAAAGACCATTTGGAAATTAAATATTTTGAAAAGCTCTGCGCTCAAAAACGCTTCTCAACTTTCTAAATCAAATTGTTTGACTTAAAACAACTTCCAATGATCATGAGGATAGTGTTGGAATATATATATTGTTACGCATTCAAATTCATATGTCCAGTGATACATAATGCAATAACATCATCCTCCTTTGGTTTGCAATAAACATGAACAATCTAAGATGAAGATACATTGCAAATACAAATTTACATGGCAAGCTAAAGCTCATTTTAAGACGTAGTGTCACTTTAATATCTGGAAATAGCTTTGTTAACTACAGCTGGTGTATATAGATCGTCACGTTCAAATTATTTTTCATTATTAAAAATAAATCAATGCATCTCTGACCTCATATAGTAGTGCAAAGTTTTGTTTTAAGGTGAAATAAAATAACCGTACCCTGAAAATGATTTAGAAATGCATAAAAATTGTTGTCTTCAAAAGACTATCAAAAGCACTTGTTATCAAAGAACTAACTAAGTTATGTTTAAAATAAAGGTGTCTGCTACAGTCTGAAATTAAGTTTAATAACCAATTCAGATACCACGCGATAGTAAGTTTGTTTTCATCAGGGAAGCAGAGAGATAAAATGCTTTTCAATCAACTGTAAAAAGTTTTATTTTATTATCTTAAGTTTCAATCATTTATTTCAATAATAAATCAATGATAATTATCAAGATATAAATGAATTTTCCAGCGATTCGCATGCCTTATTTTAGGGTTAATCGGAATTTTTATATTTCTGTTAATTTTGACCGTTTGCGGAATTTTAATTAATTTAGGGCTTTTAACATTCCGCTTTTTTGGAAAAATTTTCATTGTCAAAAACGTCGTAAATTATATCTGAAAATTTGTAAAGTATGCTATTTATATCTATGTATCTTCTTGACTAAATTTGTTTTATAAGCGTTAATTGAAAACGTAGAGGACTAATTGTTAATTAGACAGTTTCACCTAGTTTTGGTTTTCGGGGAAGGGATGGATTGATTCTCCCAAATGTACAGGCCTATTCTGATCTGAAATTACAAAAAATAACTCGCCCTGTGGGCGAGAAGTATAGTATCTGTTATGTACTGATTGTTTTTCTCAATCAAACAATATTATCATTTAAGTTCATTTATTTTTTGAATTTGCAACTATCATTTTACGCTTATAGACATGGGGGAATTTCTCTTGGAGGCTCTTATAGTGGGCATGAACTATCTTGCTTGCTCGATTGCTGGTTGTATTGAATGGGACAAAAAAAGGTGCTATTCGTACATTATGGTGAATATTTAGTGCCATAGGTCATGCTGTATTCAATGTCTCAATCCAATGGGTTTCCCTATAGCTTGGGAAATTTCTTACATGAAATTAAATATATTACATTTGAATGTCCACATGTTAGATGTTCCTGGATCTGGCACCTTTTATTCGTAGAGTTGCTTACAAAATAATGAGTTTCTGATATATAGGGACATGTTTTGCATCTACTGGACAAACATGGAGCACCCCTTAAATCTGGAGGTGCTATCTGTGCTAAAGTGGAATTTTTTGTGTTTCGTAAAAATCGTTTAAAGTACACACGCTCTTTCAGTTTTGAGAAGACAATCGAACAGAGGATCTTTTGCAAATCCGGTGAAATCGTAAAACTTGTGTCTTAATTATACCAGATTTGAGTGAAAGGAGCTCTTGTGCAAAAGTTGATGAGTATCAGTTTCTTTGAAATACAGTCTTTAATATCCAGTTTATTTGTTTCTGCTATTGAATCTCCCCTTAAGACAGTGGTATCAAAAAAGTCTATGCTTGTGTCAATGTTAATTTGATTGAAGGGTGGTGGTTGTTGATAATTTCAAAGAATTCCCAAAATTGTTCGATAGAATAAGTCCAAACCGTAAAAATGTCATCCAAATAGCGTCCGTAAAAAAGTGGGTAAAATGGACAGAGGGGCAATACCTCACGTTCCCACTCTGACATGAAAAGGTTTGCGTACGAAGGGGCGAAGCTGTCCCTGAAGTTTGTAAATATGTTTACCATTGTGTTATTTTATTATTTCATTTCATAAAATAATTAATTACCAAATGTGGAGAAATCCGCTCTCCTGCGTTGGAGTTCATTTTAGTTTGAATGGCGTCGCAGCAAAACGTGTTCAATTTTTTTTTCAAGTATATTTTCTTATTTCTACGATAGATTATAAACTATGGATAGCTCTCAGTTCGAAAATTTAATGAGCTTTTTGCCGCAGATGACAACTACTCCATTGTCGGCTGATTCTAGACAGAATTTACTTTCTAAACCGATGGAAACTACCATCAACGAAATACAAGCCGCTGCCGGTGCCATTCCTAAAAAAGTTCGTAAAATTACTAAAGCAGAATTGATTGAGCAAATCGCTGAATTACAGGAAAACATTGATACGAGATTATCAAAACTTGAGCTTTCACACCAGCCCCCCAGATTGACATCAACGGTACCTTGCAATAATTCTACACCAAAGCCCTCCACTGCACCTATGAATATGATGATGGAAGATAGGCCTACTACTGAAGTTACAATTAAAAATCTACAGGCAATTCCAGAAGTCAAATCATCTGTAGCTGCTCAACTAGACTCGATGCCAATAATTGGTCATGCTGATACCAGAATTTTACCTGATAGGCCTAATCCTAACGAGTTTTACAGAAGTAGTGCAGCCAGTTTAGGCCTATTACAAGATCACGATACCGCAGTGCCAGGTAAGCCTAGAAAAAAATCTGGCATGGACCTGGAAAGTCAGGAAAATATAGTCAATACTGTTATATTGGCCTCATGCTTTTACAAGTGAAATTGCTCATGTTGTCAAGAACAGAAAAGCTCAGATTATTTCGCAAGAGGCGTTTATTTTAGACGCTGTTAATATTCTAATGCAACCAGATACTATTGTGCTCTTACCAGAAAAATTTGCTAGACTATTAAAAGATGTTATGAAGCTGGCAATATTAAACGGATGGAATCATGCCCGTCAATACCACAACTGTGTATTACATGGTATTGAAGTTGGTTCCCATACTTGGACTTCATCATTTGAAAATTTGTCTCATTTCACAGCAGTTGATGACACTAATTCTACTGTCAGCTCAAACAGTTTTAACAGTGCTAAGATTAAGCAATCGAGTAATGCTAATAGCAATACCCAAAGAATTCAGAACATTATATGCTACAGCTACAATTATGACAAGAATGTGGATACTGAGTGTGCTTTCTCACGTGATGGTAAGCAATGTCAAAAGATTCATGTGTGTTTAGCGTGTGCAAAAAATGGATATACAAATAAGCATCCAGAAAAACTATGTGAGAAATCAAAATCTAACAATAGCAGTTCTGGTAATTGACATAACTTGGGTACAGAGCTTTTACAAACAATGAGCCCCTATGAAGTTGAGCTAATTAACCTAGATGCGCCTAATTCTGAGCTTTATAATTCTGAGCTTTGTAATTCTGAGCCTAGCATTCATGAGCTTGATAACCTGGAGCCGAATATTGAGCATAAACTTTCTGCTGTCAAAAATACTGAGCTGCCTGCTTCTGAGCCTGATTCCAGTGTTGAAGATATTCACTGGCAAGTGTTTAACTCTGGTCAATATAACTATCAAGGAGTGAGAATACCTGTACATACTAACTTGAATATTTCAGCTTGGCAAGACAAACTAGCTTATTACTCGGATAATAAGTTATGTGATTTCTTAACCTATGGATGGCCTGTGAATTTTTCATATGAATATTTGCCATCAAGGATTTTTGATAATCATCCATCTGCTTATGACTTTTGTGATGCAGTGGATGATTATATCGTTACAGAGTTATCTCACAATGCTGTAGCTGGTCCATTTATTGATAGGCCTTTTAATGGAAGACTAGTTACTTCACCTCTGCAAACAGTTTGCAAAGATAGTGTTAATACTTTAAAACGACGGGTTGTAATTGATCTCAGTTTTCCTTTAGAAAATTCTTTAAACTCTGGCATAAACCGTGATAGTTACCTAGGAACTCCCTTCGCACTTACATATCCAACTGTAGACACTTCAGCCCAATTAATTCATACTAAAGGCCAGGGTTGTTACTTGTATAAATTAGACTTGTGTCGCGCTTATAGACAGTTACCTGTAGATCCATATGATTATTGTTTATTGGGATATCATTGGAAAAATAGATATTATGTGGATACAAAACTGCCCTTTGGTCTTGCTTCTGCTCCAATGGCATGCCAGCGCACCACTAATGCTATTTCTTATATGTTCAATCAA